CTATTGTATATATGTATGGATACATAATTTTTTCTTTTCATTTTTATTTTTTTTGCATATTGTGAAATTTGTAAGAGAAATTACAAGCCACCAATTCCTTCCAATAAAAAACAAATCAAAAGTCTATCTCTCTACTAAACAGATTCTCTGAATTCTTTAAATCTAATACTGTGCTTGAAAAAAAAATAGGTCTAGCATCCTTATGATAAATAAATGTTTGAAAGAAGCCACAAGCACAATGGTTGCAAAATATTATTTGTAAAAGGCTACCTGGAATATAAGAGAGAATACTTAAGTGAAATGTGGCAGAGGTTTTTGATGATTACAATCAAGCTGCTATAAAACCTACTCAAGAGCCATAATTTGTAAACGTTCATACTGAATACTTCACATATAAATAAAGGTCTCAATTGCAAGCAGAGTTAGCTGCTCAAAGGGAAAAGTAAGAAATGCAGGAAACATGAATTCACTTTTCTCTATGTTCTTAGCTTCAGCACAAACAACTGTTTAAGCAATGAGTATAAAAAAAGGTTATATGCCTACTTTAGCCAGCATAACTTGGAGTGACTTTGACAGCATATGACACAACAGAACATTGGCCATCATGAGTGGGTAAATCAAGTTCTCTAGCTTGATAATCGGCAAACTATGAATATGACCTATCACTGCAGATCAATACCCTAATCCTTTGATGCATCATTCTGTAACCCTTAGATGACGGTTTCAGAAATCTCTGTGTCACTAACTCCAGTGACTTCTGGCAACCATCCTGCTGTTTGGCTAGGGCGTCCGCTACATGTCGCGAAACTTTCCACTTGACTCACTTTAGCGTGTTGCAACACCTATAGTCATACCCGGCATAATGAGTTGGTTTGTTTACCATTAAATAAATACTACAGTACTGTTAGGAAATATTAATTGACAATTTGACTAATAACAGTATCATTTAATTAATCCATTTGTGAAAAATGATTTAGGTAGGTGTAGCCTTCAGATAATCAAGAAAATTGAAGTGTGGTCTTTGGGAAATATTGAATGTGACACTTTGAAGTTTCAAGACATCTGAAACTCTTTGAATATATACTATTCCCTGTTACTTTTTAACCCACCACCCTGGGTAACAGAAATCCTTGAGCATGATAAACTCTCAGGGCCAGACACTGGGCACGGGAATCCGCGACATGAAGCAGAACGTCCCGCACCATGCCCTCTGGCACATCACTGTGCATACAGGCGTACCTCACAGACCAAGCCGTTTGTTATGACACCTGTACATGTGACCTGTCTGGAACGGGTTAATTACTGCCTATCTATTAGCTAATCATTTGCATTTGCAAATCTGCATCATCTATATATCGGTCTCCTGTGTGGACATGCCAAAAGTAAAAGATCATTCCTAAACCCCTTCAAATATCAACTCATAACATAGGATGTTTTGCTATTTTTTCTTAATCCCTCAGTGACAGTATTAGAAATCTCACGGCATCATAGACTCCGGTGATTTCTGGCAACAATCCAGCCGCTTGGAGTGGGAATCCGCTACATGTAGAGGAACTTCCTGCTCGACACACTCTAGCATGTCACCACGCATTGAGCCATACCCGGCAGATCAAGCGGATTGCTATGACAACTATACATGTGACCCAGCAGTAATGGGTTACGATAACAATGAGCAATTTTTTTATCAGTTTATGCATGTGAGCAGCTCCCAACAGCCAAATAGATAGGGGTACATGATCTACAAAGAAACTTATTTGAAAATTAAAAAGCATGTTAGCTTTTTAATACATAAAAAAAACTACTCACTCCTAACTTTTCTTAATTTAAGTTTGTCATATTATTTACAAAAAATAAAACATAAGCATTCAAACCTTACTCATGTGAACTCCAATTTCCTTACTGACGTTGCAAGAAGAAAAATTCGGATGCAGGTCACTTAGAGCAACAACATAATCAATACATACCAATGTCAGTCCTATGTCAAGCAGGTTGTTGCACCAAGTCTTAATGCTCCTGTTTGCACTTTGCAAGCCAAGAAATTCATTTCCACCTTCACATTTTTCTTTCCCATTCCTCAACCTTGTATTCCAATAAAAAGACAATCAAGAAGCCAGATTCTTAAAAAAACTGATACCTCTGAAAATATCATCACTAATCTGCTAATATCATTATAAATTTCACATATTCATTTCTATGAATTATCCACGCATTTGATGGTTCACAAGGTGTTATAAAATTATATGTGACTATCTCAAAACTTTTGCAGGCTACTTGTAAGAAACAAGGAGGGGTGTTGCACATATATGCAAGTAAACTGAGATTATGCACCTTTAACCCACTGGTGCAGAGATGGCAGAAATACATGCCATGTTCTCTGTTAGTTCAGTTTTTCAATTTTTCTTTCACATAGATGGGTCTGCCAAGGAGTCAATTACTAGTCCTACTTGCTATCACCAGTTTACCTTTTTCTTGATTTTTGGAGAATTTATTTTACTTCTTA